TATATGTATGTCTGTCTGTATGCGGCGTGCAGCCGCTGGCTGGAGACCCCGTGTTCTCCTCCCTTTGTTCGCAGGTTTCACGCCATGGACCTGGATAGCTTTAGGAGAGGTATCAAGGACGAGTTCTTCGAGTCTAGCTCAGCTTTCAAGCCCATATTCAGCACAAGGCATTGGACACAGGAACTTTGGTGGATTCGCCAGCTTTGCGGGCGTTGTGTGTGTTCATGCACTACAAGCTTGTTCGGACACACCGATGTTCTGCATGCAAGAGCAGGTGCATTTTGATTCAAAGCAGGTCTGGTGACGAGCTCAAGTGGATTTGCGAAAAAACCGGAACCAAACACACTTCAAGAAGGCGGTCACTATCCCTGCGGTTTCTTTCCTTCGCCCCAAGAGCTGGATTCCATTCATACATTTCCTTGTGTACATGAAAAACAACTACAAGATGGCTATTGTCCAGAAAGAACTTCATGCAGGCCATGGAATCACAAAACCTTGCCTGTACAGATGGCAGAAGCAGTACCATTCCGCCATCAAGAAGTACGTGGATGAAGAGAAGATCAATCGTGTAGGTGGTATGTGTTGCAAACCAACACAGGGGATGCCATGCAAGTGGACATGGCAACAATCATGCAGGCACTGTCCAAGCTGGCAGGGGAGCAGACTTGGCAGCCAGTTTCACTGTTGTGACATCGGGCCCGACGTGTGCAAAAGCCGTGTCTGTATTGCAGAAGCTATGAAACCTGGAAACTCTTAAAGATACTATAGCGATATATATATATATACATATGTATATACATGTATACAGACAGGATGGTAGGGAGGTAGGTGAGTAGGGGGTGGGTCAATATGCAGACCAGCAGTCAGGCAGGCACTGCATGCATACATGCACATACCCGTGCACTAGATCTGTTTGGCACCGAGGGGGCAAAACAACTTATAGTAGTAGCACGACTGGCAAACCCGGAACGTCTGCCCTTCTGCCATGCCGGCCTGTTGGAAGATGGTACTTCGGCGGTCCAGCACCAATCTTGCCCCACTTGCCGCCTTGCACTCACAGTGTATACCTACACATGTGCAAACGGAGTTGTTCGTCTGTATGGTTCTGCAAGATTATATCGACCAGCCAAGACCTTGGCCTTGGTGCAGTTTATGAGGTTTGGATTGGCGCTCGGACAGCTCCAGGCGAGGCGAGCCTTAACGGCCTGTGAGCCTGCAAACCGTAAAGAAGGCTGCTGAACATCTTGACTAGAAGAGCTCACAGGATTGAAGGCCTGGCCTGGGGCTGGTGAAAGTGAAGAGTGCCATGTCATGGACAGGTGATGTATTGAGGGTCTCGCAATTAGAAACGTGCCACACGCCGGCGTTCTGAAAGCCTAGTCCCAGGGTGTTTCGCTTGGAGATATTCATAGGGTTTAGCGATTTACGCAGCATCTCCACTTGGACCTGACCCTGGAGCTCTGCAAAATTCAAAGGCGCACCTTGCACAGCCACCAGGTCACCACGAAGCCGATGTTGGAAACTGGGAGCTGGTCGCTTCTTTCGCGAGCAGCTGCTATACTTCATTCTTGTATGTTGCTGAGCAGGAGTAAGTTGAAAAGGATTAGAGGCAGTGGAGTATTGCTGGGGGGAATCGCTTGAAAAGACTCGGCGGGGTTGGGAGCACTACTTGGCACCAGTGTGTTTAGCCCAGCCTGTTACTGCAGCGGATCTAGAGGGTCCATTCCAATCAGCCCTATTCAGTACTTATACCAGTAGTTCGCAGGCCGTGGGTCTCTGGGCACATGGACGTGTGTTTCGTAAACAACTGAGAGTGCGACTTGCTTTTGTCTGACTTGGCTCGAACTTTGATGTATGTGGTAGACAATGGAAAGTAGAATGAATATGAGTCAAATCGAGCGAGTTGGTAGCAATTAAATTAAAGCTCATGGAAGACATTGTGTTGTTTTTGTGGAGCGGGCGGAAGCATGTAAACAGCTGTGTGCATGTGTGTATACACATCGAACAGGCACGAATAGCAATTGCTGGCGAGCACTGATACCAACAAACATTACCCCCATTGAAAGAATCATTCTGTGTCTAGACTTCTATCATTATAATACATCATTACAATACATTAGAGCTCTCCGATAACGGCAATGGTTGCTGCTGTCAATGAGACCCTGAACAGCCTTGGCCTTGCCTATTTCTCCCACACCTGCTAAATCATGGTGCATCACGTGGTCATGGGCGGAGAGTGAAACTGAAACATAGCGAAAGCTCCCACGATGACCGATGTGCTCGCAGCCTTTAAAACCAGCCGCGTCAAAACGGAAGCTTCGACGCATGGACCGCAAGCTCTGCGAGGGGATGAAGTTGCGCCGAAGCTACTCTGTAGGACCGTACTTAGTGCGACTGGCTTCAATACGTGAATGGTCTCGGCCCTTCTATAAAGGACGAAGCATTCTGTCCAAGGAGGGGCATAGACGTACTCCTACATTGTTCTACATCCTTAGCATCGGCAAAGTCTGCGGTAAAGGCGGTGCTCGTGTCAGCCCGTGTTGTTCACCGGCTCCGAGCAAACTATATGGTCAGAGCACACTGGAAAGCAGTCCGATCCAACTGGAAGACGAGGGTAAATCTACAAAAATCTGGCGCCCTCGCCCTGCCCCAACATCAGGTGATGTGGACAAGCAGATCGTAGATCCAGCCGGTTGGTCCAAAGATCCTCACAATCAAAATGGAATCAACCTTGAACTGAAAAGCTGAAGCTCTAGACCACCAAGAATCCGAAGCAAGCAAAGATCAGGAGTGAAATTAGACCAATTGTAGCCTGCTTGTCAAGCAGAGCCGCTGACAAACAAGACAGGTAATCAGGAGACAGAGCAACTTCGCATTCTTCTTACGGCTATGACCTTCGACAATGTCCTTCACACGGAAACATATAGAGTTGGTTGCTTCCAAAGGCTTGGGAAATAAGCTATGTTTGCATGTATCTCTCTCTCTCTCTCTGACTATATATATATATACATATACATATACATATACATATACATATACATACACATACACATACACACATACATACATCCATACATACATCCATACATACATACAGACAGACAGACAGACAGACAGACACACAGACAGACAGACAGACAGACAGACAGACATATAGTTCAATGTCTTTATATAGATCATAAGCTGCCAAGATACTTTGTTACCGATGTATCTGATGCGACCCTGTACATACACGCAAGATACTCAACCATACGCTCACTGCGCATCCGGTTCTGCTCCCAAGAACCTATGAACACGCGCGCTTTGTGCTTGCGACTTTGAAGTATTCAAGGCAAAGCTTGGATCTGCAAGGTTTGCTCTCACTGAAACCCTGTATCCCAAACGCTCTGCCAATCTGAAGAACCACAAGTTCCAAAGCTCGGATTTTGCAACCCAAGGAGAACATGGATAATGCATCCAGGCTCCCAGATCCAAAGGCAGATGTCTCTGGTCCCTTTTCAATGCGCTTCTTCAAAATCAGTGTACCTGTGCATGAATAGGGGGCCAGTATGTCAATGCAGTTGAATAGTGGAGCCCGCCACCCCAACAAAACCCGTAAGGGACCACCTGCGGTAGGCCAAGCCACATGAAGCGCACTTCAGCATTGATTCGTGCCTTCATGAACTCAACGAGGGGTGGCCCGTGTTCTGCACCACCCAGAATGACAATGGGTCCCGACTGCTGGGACCTGCATACTTTGGGCGGCTTTCTTCTCAGTCCTGCTTGGTTTAGATCGCATTGGTTGTAATTTAAAATTACCCGCCGACGCGCGGGCCCTCAGATGATGGAGCAGAGAGCAGGTGGTGTCTTGTCTAGTGGGAAACTTCAAGCGGCCGGCCTCAGCTTGACAATCTTGTCACACCATCTGGAAGTAGCTCCCTCATGGTCGTCAAGATGCGACGCTCGATTGGCCTTATTGGCTCCAGCATGCACGCTTTAGGCGAAAAGTGTGCGGAAAGGCTTGAAGCTGTTTTGTGGCGTCGAGATCCACAGGCTGAACCCGTCATCAATGTGAGAAAATTATAATAGGTCAATACTGCATACATAGATTATCTAATATATGTCTGTCTGTCTGTCTGTCTGTCTGTCTGTCTGTGTATGTATGTGTATGTGTATGTGTATGTGTATGTGTATGGGTATGGGTATGGGTATGGGTATGGGTATGGGTATGGGTATGTATATGTATATGTATATGTATATGTATATGTATATGTATGTGTGTGTATCTGTGTATGTGTGTATGTATGTATGTATGTATGTATGTATGTGCCCATGTATGTATGTAGACGTATGTACGTACGTACGTATGTATGTACGTACGTATGTACGTACCTGTATGTATGTACCTGTATGTATGTATGCATGTATGTATGTATGCATGTATGTATGTATGCATGTATGTATCTGTGTGTATGTATCTGTATGTATGTATGTATGTATGTATGTATGTATGTATGCCATGCATGTATGCATGCATGCATGCATGTATGTATCAAATGTGTGCCTGTGTATGTATATGTTTACAAGTATGTATATATATATATATATTTATTTATATTTATATTTATACACATATATAAACACATGTTGCAAATGTACGTATACGTGTGCAGTATGATAGTATTATGCTTACGTCTACTCATAATTATTGTAATTTCGTACTTCCGTGTGCACCATGGACCAAAACCGTGACATGGCCCCTGTATGCCCATGAGGGCTTATTTTTGTGTCTGGGCGTGTGTTTACTTGTACTTGTCATTGCTGGCTGCTCAGGAGAAAAGAGAACACAGTTCTAACTCTGAAAGCCGCAGTGGCCAAGTAGCGCATGCCACCCAGATTGCTACCGTACTTCGCGATGAACGCATCTTTGGACCACTCGGGATCATCCAAGGCATGAAAATTCATGCCATGTTTCCGTGCAACGACCAGCAAGTTCACGAGGGACTTGTTGAACTCGACGGACCAGCCGTTGTGCTTAATGGACGCGAGCACAGCATCCAGTGCTTCAGCATCGTCGTCGGCGCTTTGGGTAGCAAAAGCCTTCCTCACCTCCTCCAGGATGTCCTCGTAGACAAACTCCAGCCAGAGTGTACCACCTGCAAATTTATGCAGATCCCGCGCTAGCCTGACCTGCTGAAACGTGCTGGTGTGGTCGTCCCGCGCGTAGATCACCGCATCCGACGGAAAGCTGTCCGCGCTCACTCGCTTGCTGGCCGCAGCCGTCGGACAGCACCCCATGAAGGCGCCCATGTACGTGTTGCAAGACTAAGAGTACCACAAAAACCAACACCAAGTCCGGTTCAGGTTGCGGGAAGTTTGAGGTTTCAGAGTTGGGTATGACGTGCCCCATTTTGGGGCGCAAATTGCGGGGACTAACCGGCAAGGCTGCTGCACCAATAAAGAGATGCTTACATCCGCATACGAGGCATAAGACGAGCTGCCACATCACGGCAAAGGTGTGCAAATATGCTCCAGACATGCGTCGACAATAGATCTTGTCCATGGGAGAAAGACAAAAGGAACGTGAGTCTACTGAGTCTACCGTCGGCAGAGTTCTACTTGCAGGAAGTGTAGAACCCGCTGGCATCCGAAATCATCCCTTGGCATCGGGCTCATGCAGCCGGAAACCAACCCAAAAAAGAGTCCCTTGAGGCCGCTGCAAGTTGACAAATGTCATTGCTTGGAAAGCCAACCTTCAGCAACGAATGGCAAGAGGGATAATGGCCTAGAGTAATGACCTATATAATTGCAGATCATGTCCTGAACCGCCCAGGGATGAACGGAGCGATGAGGAGTCAGGATTTCACCATCTTGCAGACACCGCTTCAATTTCTTTGCCACCATCACTCGAAGGTGCAAAACGAGCAATGCAGTTCAGCGTTCGGGAAATGATGGGTAACATGCAGCAGCATGATCCTCGTTCTTGTCTCGGGATGGCTTTTGCAGGCAACTCCAGCACAGGACCCAATGATCGGACAAAATGATGCTCCCGCTTGTTTCTGTGAGTTGCTGACCTACGGCCTAACTTTGATTCCTTCTTCACCGTACTCTAGTACAATACCAAACCTTAGATACTGACTACATCTGACTATTGAGCTCAAACCTCCGCAGCCATCCAACTTCTGCTTCCGAGGGACGCCAAGACAAGAACTAACACTGCGCCGAGACGGACCTTGCACGAGAGAGCAGGAAGCAACTAGGCTTCGGCACCTGGCACTCTGCATCAGTATCCCGTACTACTGACGGGGTCCAACCGACGGATTTCCATACAGATATGACCGCAAACTTCAAGTGAAACAAAGCTGTGCTGAGACCTACCCCTCCAAATTCTTGCCGTCGAGTTCGAGGCCCTGCCAGCAGGAGCATCGGCCCGAGGGGCGACCTCCACAGGCAACGATTGAAACGAAGATGAGCAGAGTCGGAAAAACATCCCACAAATGGGGCTGCCGAACGTATTCACAGGCGAAGGCAACAGCCTGGTGAGGTCTAGGATAGACTGACGCTACATAATGTCCATTCTGGCTGAAACTGAAACAACTATCGCCGACTATCGCATCCAAAAGCAGTAGTAGCAGTGGCAGTGACAAACTGGTACTGGTGTTCGTAGGCGCGATGCGGTCCGGTGGGGGGGGGGGGGGGGGGGCNNTGGTGCTGGTGGTGGTGGTGGTGGAGGTGGAGGCGGTGGAGGTGGTGGAGGTGGTGAAGGTGGTGGAGGTGGTGGAGGTGGTGGAGGTGGTGGGTGGTCGGGGTCGTACAATCAGGCCAACCACATGTGATGAGAGTAGCGTGCGAGACGTTTCCTACTTTTGCCAGACCTCTGACCAGGTAACTGCTGTGAACCACAAATAGAGGATGGAAGTGATTGAACAGACACGGAGGAAGTGTAGCCGCACTGACAGTTTTCCGTCCAATGTCGATCGTGAAAAATGCATAATGGCAACGGCTACTGAAGTCATCGGAAGTTGAAATTCGTACGCACATGCGTAGCCTACAAAGAACTATCCTCCATGCGACCATGGCTCTGCAACAACTGCCTTCGGCAAGCGCGAGAAATCTTTGCATTCACCGAGCACATCTATCTAGGCAACCTTGAATACAGATGGCAGAAAGCACTAACGCCACTACGGTTGGCACCAGCAAGGGTCCTATCTTGGATTCAATCTGCTCAACATTCAGTTAGAAGGACGGCTATGGAATGCCGGTCGGCTGTAAAACCAGAAGGTGAAGGGTCCAACTTGATCCTTCAACAGCCGAACTTGCCAACGAAAAGCTGCCTGGACCTCCATGGCACGAGCAGAAGTAGGGCTGGGCAGGATGTGGCGGCTCAACTAAATATTGCGAATGGCTGTTCCTTTTTGCGTCCCTTGTCGAGGGCTTCGGTTTCTGCAGGTTTGCGGGAATGCTTGGTTGCAGAAATCAGAACCCGGAAAATCATGGGTTGGGATCTTTGCGATCGCGCAGTCCTGCTTCTCACACCCTGACTCGAACCGTGTAGAGGCCGCAAGACGGACAGCTTCTACTCACTGTGCTGAACTGCCTGTCACAGAATATGCAAATTATGAACCGACGCACTGATTCAAGTCGGCCATGATCTGGCAATGGGGCAAGGGATTGAGGCTCATCATCATCCAGCTCTCCGCATCAGGATGCACAACACTTGCAAGACTTGCACCTCTGATCTGTGGGGTCCCGCAAAGTTGGGGTCGCAATCTTTCTGCTGACGCCTGCATGGCCAAGCACCCCAAGCACAAAGCCTTAACTCCAGTTGCTGTTGCGAAAACGCTCGCCGGGTGATGCAAGGCGACGGCTCCGTCGCCCGGTTCCTTGTGCTCATGGCTTGGGGTCTGGAGCTTCGGGCTCGTGTTTATGGGTGCTTTAGCTTTTCAGCTCTGGAGTTTTTGAAGCTTCTTCGAGCTGGGAGACTTACGGGGTCATGGAGGATCTGCATCGAATCAGGGTTTTTTTACGGCCAAACCGAAAGTGATGCCCATGCTTTGGTCGAAGCTGCCTGGGTCGCCAAGGCTTGCAGTCCTTCGGATGGCTCGACCTCTCCCACCATTTTGTCCGTAGGGTTCTGGACATTGAAGTAAGGGCCCGACAGACATGTTTCGATATAGAAGCGACGCATCAGATGGTGCAACGGGCAAGCCAAATTTATCAATGCCCATCGATTCTGGTCTTCCGATATGCGGTGCTGCTGGAACTCCGTCATCTTGGTTCGAAGCTTTGCGCATTGACTCACCGCTGGCCTCACACACTGCCGAGTGTTGATGATAGTCTCCCGGCATTTTGCCGGCATGCTCTCTGGGACATCTTGCTTCATGTCTGTATTCATGCCATGAAGCCTTGGCCCTCGGTAACTGCTCCGCTGACGAACTCGCACAGGTTGACCAGTCCAACGAACCAGCAAACAAAAGAACAGACTGGAGTTGTGAAGGAAGAAATTTTGCGTCCACAAGTTCTTGAATAAGATCTCTGGCTCCTCTTCTGCAACCTCTCTGAGCTGCATCACTTCAAGAACGATACTGATGGCGACCTGGAGCTTTGTTATGTCCGTGGCCAATCTGATGATAGCGAATGTGCCGCAGGCTTCCAACCGGAATGTGCGATCGGATCTGTTCCGTTCTCCACTTCACTTCCAGAATCCCCTTTGACGCCCCTGACCTCTCGAACAGGCAATCACCAGCACGACATGACTCCGTGTTCCACGGCCACGTTGACGCTTCCACACGCTTCCCGGCGCAGGTCCAACGGGCGATGCTCACATGCACTCTTACGGACTCTTTCGTCATTGTCCTCCGGCAAGGACGGGCCAGTCTCTTGGTAGCTGCACCTGAGGAAACGTGATGGAAGCAGAACTCGAACAATGCTGTTGCTTCTGGCAGATGGTATTCTTGCGGCGAACCGTGGCTAACTGCTGCAGTGTCATCACTGTCAAAAGGCATGCTTGCGGAACTAACAGCGGCCTTTCAAGAGCTGCACTGGAGTACTTCATGATGGTGCACGACATGTGAAGTGAATTTGATCTGTTGTCGGACAACAAACTCTTTCAATTTGTGTCAAGCTACCCAGTTTTGAATCCGGGCTTCTGCAAGCCATCGCTAGTCGCTAGCTACTCCACAACCGGCAGATTCAGACGGCAAACCCGTAAAAGCCCAAAACCAAGACTTCGAACACCCCAACACCCTGAAACGAACCTTCAACCCCAAAAGCCCTAAGCCAAACCCTCGCGACCCTTTCGAATTTCTGCCTAAACCAGAACCTAAACCGGCCCTATATACCCTATAGAGCCGTAAAGACCATAAACCCGATCATGAACCCTGAAAACCCCCCAAAAAAATTCTGATCCCAGCTGCCGGAATGGAAGCCGACTCATCCGCCCAGCAGTTCGCATTCCAGGTCTCATCTCCCGCAGCCGGGGGCCAGGGGCCACCAGCCTCCTTGACCGTATAGGAGCTAGGATTAGGGGGACTTTTGGGGATATAGGCCCTCGCAATGAAGGTCTCTTTTAATTGAGCCAGAAGTAGGGTTAGAAGGGTTCGCCTTAAAGGGGTCTCCCTAAACTACTAGGATCGTAGGGCCCCGAACTTCGGGCTTGCAGCGTTTTAGAAATTGATGTTGGTTTCGATTCCGGAGCTTATGGGGTCTGGGCGGTCTAGGGTGTTGGGGGTTTGCATGGTGTTTCAGAGACAGATCATGTAAACGTACGCATGTTTTGTTATGCAGTCTGTATAGGATTATGTGGGTATACGGCTTCGTGAGTATACGGTATGCTCTTTGACATTCGGGCTTGCGCTAATTGCTTTATTCTTATTCGTGCACCATTTCTGGATGTCGAAGTTTTCGGCCCAGGGACAAGACACGTAATGTTTGGGTTCGGGGCCATCAGGTTGTTGAACTCACAGGGCTTCTGCGTTCAAGGTACAAGCGTGTTTTTGAAAGGCGCAAGGTTTTGAATTGAATGTCCAGACGGCGTAGGAGAAGAGCTGCCGGTGAAACAAACGATCAAGGCAAGTTGCTTGCTGTTTCGACGGCGAGGGACAAACAAGTTTCTGCAGGGGCTTGGGCTGTACACGAGACAGGACAGAAGGAGGCATAGGCATGCCACAAAGCATCGAGCAAGTCCATCGCCGCAACCCACAGCAAAGCCGCTCCTTGGCTGCTTCGAGACTGCGAGCTGGTGGGAATCCGAGCCCGGCTACGAGATGTACCTCCATTCACCCATTCGCTGTAAGTGTAGATGCGAAGATTTCAACACGCATGGCAGGCACAGGCTACCCATATCTTGCAGCAGCTGCCAAACGAGACCCTTCAGCGACCTTACACCCCTATCACCATCATATCTGCAGAGCAACAGGAACACAATCGACTGCAAAACAGAAAACCTGCTGTTGACTGTCCGGCTTCCACAAGTACGGATCAAACAGGCTGAGCCAGTCTGATCGATGTCGACACGCAGCATCTGTGAAGCTGTGAGTAGGTCTAGAGACACAGGCCACCTCAGATACACAATATGTCATGCAGGCAGTCTGCTGTAGGTCCGTAGGTACTGCCGCCGAACACCCGGCCACCACACCTCGTCTCTTTAGCTACCTCATAGGAGGAAGCATACGAAAGCCAACGCGACATTGCCCAAGAGCTCCAAAAGTGAGTGATCCTTGTAGGGAATAACAGAATAACAGTTGCATTTCACAGGTTGAAACATGTGGGTACCCATGTTGAGACACAAACGATTCCCCAAGAAGTTCCGCCGTGACACCTCCGGCTGTCGAAGCAGCCTTGAAGGGCAGCATTCACGCATTCTGGAGCCATGCTGGCAGCCGGCTGCATCCCGCTCGCTGCAAGAAGGCCAAGCATGCGTCTCCACCTGCTCGAGGCTGCGACGGACTTGTTGCCCTGTGCACAGGCCAGCCAGGAACACGATTCACGGCTGGACCAAGGCCAGGAATCCCGAGCTCCCAATTATGTCAGCTTCAACCGCAATTGTTCTTATCCGGACCCAACTCAAAAGCCAGTAATCAAACCCCCCCCATTTGATCACATGCCCGGAAACCCAAAAATGCAATCAATCCCCCTCAAGCCTCGTAAATCTGGCAAACCATGCTCGACTGAAAGCCATCAACCCGAATCGAGCCATGGACCCAGAACGATTGAAAAGCCGGCAGAATCGAGCGACTGCCGGGCACAGCCAAAAGCCGACAGCCCGGCTGTCTGGCTGGCAACCTTTCCGAGGATATCGTCTGATTTGTTCCGTTACTTATGCTACTTCCTGATCTGAACCCAAGCATCGCAAACAACTTGTAAGATCTCGTCTTGAAGGGGCACAGGTCCAACCAACCCAAAACGAGAGCATGCTTTTGTGGATCGCTCACCTTGGGAGTATATTCGGGGTTTCTTTCTGCACGCTCACAAAGTCTTACGACTTTCTTGGCAAGCCTGCTGTCTGCAACCTCTGGTGCAATCTTCGCTGAAACGTCCTATAAATGCGGGAATGTCAACCCGAAGCGCGCTATGTAAGCGGTAAGCCTTACTGTACATGTCCGCCAGGAGGCCGAGATGGCAGCAGCATGGCGAGCAAGGGCCAAGGTGCGAAGTGCCACCTGTCGCCATTCGGAACAAAGCCTCCCTCTCCGTGAGAAGTTGTGGTTCGGGCTCTTTCGATGTCACTTCATCCGTGAAAGCCAGCATAAGAACACTGTGAAAGTAGGTTCGGTTAGTTTGCCATACCTGAAAAACACTTGGATAGATCCTGCGCACGGAAGCACATTGACATGAAAACAAGCAGTAACATGCACTCGTACACGTGTGCGAAACCAGTTGTCGAACGTCCAGACTGAGTGTAGATTGTTTTGGCGGGGAGGGCATCGGTAGGCCCACCCAGTAAAGAGTCTAGGAATTGCCGGGGAAGGCCTGCCAAAGAGCAGCCGCGGTACAGCTTGAGATCCACGCACTGTACGTGAAAACATCCCAACCTTTGCATCGGATGACTTGGACATTGTCCTAAGAGTGAACCACCGTGCTTACGGAGTGCTTACGCTGCACCCGTGCGGAAGGCACCCGAGCGTGCCCACATACTTGGGGTTCCTGGTACGTCTCGTGTCCTCACCCCTTTCACCTCGCAATGAAACAAAAGTTTGCTGAACAAGGCTTAGAAACTACTAAAGGTGGCCGTACATCGGGCCTTGTGTAACCATCCTCCGGCAGCAAAAAAAAATCAACACATTTTCACTGCGGCAAAGCTTGCAATAAGCATGCAAAGCCAGTGGGGAATTCTGGGTGTCTTGCTTCGTCGGGTCATTAAAGCAGGCAAATGGTGCACCCCTACGCTGTCAGTTTCATTCGCAGACCGTTCTGAAGCACTGCTCCTTTCTCGGAAGCAAAAACTGGTTGAACAGGCCATGAGTGCCCATGCACTAACACCTGCCATGTTGCAAGTGTCCAACCCCCGGGTCCGACAGCGCCGTCCCACACGGACGAACCACCAAAAGAACTCAACACCTGTAGCGGTGTCCCATTCCACTCATATTCGTGAGAAGTCAACTGCTCGTGGGAAGACACGAGAAACAACTATCAACTGGGCAGCTCTGGGCAGCTGCTTTTGGGTGCTAGCCTATCGAATCGTAACGTGTCCAAGTTGCGGTGTTGACAGTTATGAGCGATGGTTGAAGTTGTCGAAAGGCTGAATGGGCAGCCAAAGCCAATGCCAGATTCCAGCGCCGCCCGTCAGCGCACCTGAGAACGCATAGATGCACGCATCATTTTGTTTAATGTTGCCCCAACTCACATCACCGCTTCAAAGTATCATCCTGAATAATCCTGAATACAAGCTTTACAAGACTTCCGTGGCGACTGCTGGAACATGGCGTTCATGGCCAAAACACGCGCTTATGGCACCATTCACCACGGCATCGCTCACTCCGTCACCTGCTGCAAAGACCAGTCAGTCAAGTTGCCAGTTGCCTTGTGATCGCAGCTTACATGACAAACACGTTTGCTGTCTACAGTTGCAGCCTTCACGACAAATCTCGTCAGCAACCAGCACAGCATCCTCCTTGTCGTTTACTTGCTGCAAGATGCTGTCAAGAACCGCCAATGGAAAACGTGCTGGTATCTGATTCATGCAGTCAGTGGTCCCAGCGCCCATTCCGGGCATATCCAGGAATTGATGCAGCAGCGTACGGAGAAGGACCGGTTTTGGCCTTGGAAATGCATTCGATAAGTGACAAAACTGTTCAGGTTCTTGTTCCAGCCTCGATATGCTCGGCCCCAGCTCTGGCGATGGTGGTCGCCCGGTGCCACCCGCTGCTGCGAGCAGCTGCAGCTGTCGCAGAGGTCCAAGAAACCTACATCGTTGGTTGGTGATTCAATATCGAGCCGTTTGTCTGTATGGACAATCTTTTTTTGACACATCTATTTTCCGAGTAGCCGCATCCGGCACAAGGCCAAGGTGGCGCATTCGGGAAACACACGCGACTGAAAAACTCCAGTCCAGCATACCTGCCAACATGTCGTATGCCGCTCATGTCGGCCAGTATACAAAGCATCAATAAACTACCTTGCGTTGCCTGCCAATGTGTTCAAACTGACACAGTCCAAGTCCAAGAGGTTAGACTCGCCCTCCTGGCGCATGTTCCAGATGCATCCGAATTGTGCGGAGGCGCTCAAGGTCAAACATCCTTCAAGGTGTAGAGGGCACGCTGCCATCCCACTTCCACTATCCTGACGAGAAAGCGCTAGAATTTCACAAAATTTCCGTCTGTGCAACACATGCATCAAGAAGCTGACGCGAGGACTCGCCTGCTGCAAACATTCGCGATTGCATTGTGCCTGAGCACCAGGTGTCTGCACCGGCGTCGACAAGAAGGTGCAACAGCCTTTAAGAGCCGCACGAACTAATGTCCGGCTGCACGCCGGTTGACATCATACCATCGAAGACTAGCACAGAGTAGCTCCAGGCTTGATTTTCGCCACATGCCGCGATACAAACCTCACGCACGATGTTGCTAGAATTGGAAATGCAATTGCACCTGCACCCGAGATGCGTGCATTCGTTGTGGATGCATGAGGTAACTCAAGCTGAAACCTTTTCAAGGAACATCGACCAAGAAAGCTCATGAAAGCTTTGGCAGTTGGCCGGCCTGCTCCAAAATCTAAGCGCCAACTCCCAGGAACCAAGTTTTCGGCACACATGAAGAACCTCGGCACGGCTAGAACGCGCACGATGCCAAACTCACGGGCCATCGGAAATTGAAGTGACCACAGCCAAAACCCAAAGCAAGTTTCTGGACATTCCATGCCGGCCTCCAACAAGTCATCGATTTTGGTGAACCGTTGAGCACACCTGCCCGGCACCATGTTATCGAAAACACCGTACAAGGTTCGAATTTTTTTGGAGCATTTTATCATGACTCTCAATACACATGTACATCGGGAACAAGATGCATTCGCCCACTATTCGTCCCATCTGGGGACCATTGCAAGCAATGACGTTTCTTAAGACGCCCATTTTGGAGAGACAGAACACACCGGCCCGCACAATGCGACTTGCTAGCGAAGGGCTGGCAGAACCACGGTTCCCGCGTTTGCTGGGCCAGACACTGCCGTGTGGCGGAGATGTGGCGGCTGGCACGCGCATGTCTGAGCTCCTGCTGTCGAACCTGCGGAATTTAGGCGCCTCGGCCTTTATCGATCACTGCAACGTCAGTTTTACATTTTCGCAAGCTTTCTAACGCGTGCAGCACCGTGCGAGATTTATCCAATGGTCGAGCAAATGAAAAAGCTTCCAAATCCCAAGCGTTTCAAAGACAAATTCAACGTTGTGCAACTAAAATTGTTTCCTGAAAATTCGCCTCGGACCCCGCCGAAGCGGCCAGCGATTCCCACAGAAATTCTCTCTTCCTCTTATAGTCCCCTACCCAACGACCCGTGACCTCGTTTATGATAGCGGCCCACCTGAAGCTGCTCCTGACCCCCCCTCCTTCCTCTGGACCGATCCACGGCCAAAATGCGGGTCCTCATAGTCCTCTATGAATTAAAATTCGATATGTTTTCTTGCACCCGCCTTTTCACGACCGCCGGGTCCCCGTGCAGACTGCATGGTCCAAGAAATATAGACTTCCACCCGCCTCCTAACGACCGCTGGGTACAACAGGTCCCCGTGCAAACTGCGTGCTACCACTATATATAAGCACCGCCGCAGTCACCAGGTGGGCGATTGTGTGAGCGCGCCTTTGCGTGACTCCGGCCAAGAAGCGTAAACTCCCAAGCCTCGAACACCTCAGCGACGTCGCCACAGCCGAAAGCGCCCGGCTCAACAGCAAACGGGCGGCATGCGTCGAAGCCAGTACGAAAACCCTATGCACCAGTGCACAGTGCGTAAGAGCCTGGAGTTCAAGGGGTTTGGGGCTGAGTTTCATTCGGCGGCCTCAGCACTAACGCTTTTCCATGTGCAAGGCATCGTACGCACGCGGCCACGACG